ATCTTGTGTTAATGAGGTATGGTAACTTGGACCGATGCATATATGTACCTGTTCCTACGTTGTAGCTGAGTGACTGGATCGTAGATGTCCACTGTTTAGGAGTCCAATCCATTGATTCCAAGTTTTTCATGATGGTCTAGTTCCAATTAACTCATAATGTTAACTATTGAAATTCATTATCATTTCAAAATTGTTTATAATACAAAACAGAATTAATCCTAACATCAAAAATTGTTTCCAAACTTTAATTTTAACGAACATTATCTAGAATAATTCACTTGGTATTGTTTTACTTGAATCTTCCCATTGACGTTTTTTTAGGACTGAAATTGATCAGTCTGTTATTGGTATATGTGCATACTGTGCGTATGCCTTGAGTTCCAGAGTGAACATCAACTCTGAGATGCAGGTACATCCAGCTGACGAGTTCCAACAGGACGAAACGCGCGGCCTGGATTCCACTGCTAGCCACTATCCATCTTTGCTTATAATTATCTAGAATAGGTTTGTTTCTATAGCTTCTAGTTATCAATAAATAATTGATCCTTTTTTATTTTTATTTTAATTTTCTAAGGATTTCCTTCATACTGTATTAAACTTATTACTGTACATAACAATACAAGGTTTGTTTCTTTCTGTCTGTCTGTCTCTCTACTATCTAAAACGTTTACACTTCATCAATTAAATCTTTGAGGGGAGGGCTATTTTGTTTTCCTTCACTCATTTTGTTACTTTCATTGTTAAAAACTTCTATTGGGTTCTTTCTTTCCTTCTTTTTTCTTTTTGAATAATACTGATGTAAAAGTATTGCATAATCAAATCAATGTTCTATTTATATTCTTGTATCTGAACGGTATTTCAGTTAACTCCATCAATCAACTAGTTAATTGTTCCAATATAAAGAAATATGCATTTGATTCTATTTTGTTATACTGATGTTGATTAGATTGAAAAGTCAAATGATTTTTCATTAGTCTAATTTAATTCAGTTAAAAAATTTATTTTTTTGATTAAGATCATGAACCGATTGATGTTAGACCTAACACTATTGGATGCTGGCTCAGTGGTCCAGTGTGTTAAGCGTTCGCGCGTGAGACTGATAGGTCCTAGGTTCGGATCCCGCTAGCGGGATCGTTGATGCGCACTGCTGAGGAGTCCTACAGTAGGACGAAACAGCTGTCTAGTGCTTCCAGACTTTCACTGGTGGTCTAACATCAATCGGTTCATGATCTCAATTAATAACTTAATAATCTCCACAACCCCATACTGATAAAAATTTATGGTTTATATCGCTAACTGATTTTTAAACTAGAAAGCAGTTATAAGTACGATACATTGTACAGATATTTCATCTTAATGGGATACTCTTGATTAGTATACACAGCAACTTGACAGAGGATCGTATTTAGAACTTTTAACGAAACTATAATTTATAGGGGAGCCAATCAGAAGAGTTTGGGGGATTTCAAGGTTATAGCACCAATTTCACTACCTAATCAATTGACAGAGGATTGTAAAGAATACGAGATAATTGAGCGAGTACAATAAATAGGACTACTAAGAAGTTCTTTAGTTTGTGATTGTGATAATCAAATGACTTGTACAGACTACCGTGATGATGTTGTCTTTCGATTTAATATGTGTTGGAAGAAGTATGCTAGAATAGGATTTTTCGCTCGATCCAGATTGAGATTAGGGCAAATTGCGAACTGGATAATAGAAGCACTAGTAACACTAGCTGAAGCCGGGTACTAAAATATATACGGATGATTGGAGAGCGTACAGACTCCTACATAGACTTGATTATCTACATAATGTCGTTGTTCAAAAGCGGCATTTTGCGAACTTGACAACTGGAGTGGACACAAACAATATCTACGCTATGTGGTCGAGGCTCAAAGAGTTTTTGCGACCTTATCATGGCTCCAGAGGCCGACTATTAGGCGGCCATATGCATGAGTTCTTCTACCGTAATCATCAAGATCTTAGATCCTTTGAACCTCTATCTAACCTTGACAAATTTTTGAACCATGTAAAAGAAATGTATCCATTTTAATACCTTGGTTTTGTATAATATATTTTTACTTTGCACAAACTGTTTTCTGATTGGCTAATATTGATCAAGGTCACGTAAAATTCGTCCGAAGGTCGTCCATAAATTATAGTTTCGCCACAATATTAACTAATTTACTATTTAACTTATTATAAGACTATATTACTTAAGGTAGAGAAATTAAACATAATACACTTTCTATGAAGCGTCTATAATCCGACTAAAACTATATTATGTGCTACTGATGTCGATAGATTATAAGTAGCATGTATCATCAATCGACAGTGAAATGTCTGGAGGTAGAAGGTTAAGAAGATTGAAGAAAAGAGAACGAGAACAAAGGATGACTGGTGTGGAAATGAAGGAACAATTGAGTCTGAGACAATTGATGGATATTTTACAAATGAAGTATTTTATTGTATGGTTTGGTTTTCCTCACTTGTGTTTTCATTCACTATAGGTCTATCAAAGATAACTAATTCCATTCAACTTTTGAGCTATTATATCCGTCTATTTTGAGAGAAAATCCAAGACACTTATACTATAAAGTTTCTTTCTCTATGGTGAGTTAATCTTAAAGGTTAAACTTTTCAATCAAGAATTTATGATTGATATAAAATGAGTGTTCTTTTAGACTAGAAACAACTTTTGATAATTGTTTGAATCTTTGCACTTGTGCGAATAGCTGATGGAATAAATCATGAAGCGCGAAGATAATCAAAGACTGAGTCGAGTACGTTATCATTTAATCGTTCAGTTATAATTCAATGCTACGAATACAATGTTAACAAGTTTTAACGAATTTGGACTGAAGCTAACGAGCAAATCCAGTAGACGCGTTTCATCCTCATTGAGACCAACCAGCTGAATGTTTCCACATCCTACTGATGATGCATACACTGATACTCGAATTCATTGCCTTTTACTTCAAATGTCAACGCGTTAACCACTCAGTTGCTAAGTCCGGTTAATCACTAACCTGTTCAATGTGTATTAATTTATTTATAGACATATGTATTTTCCCTCTATCGACATTAAAAGTTTCTGTTTATCAAGGAGGATTGTCTCAATAAAGCTATTTAGTGATAAGTTTTTGCTAAATTTGGATTGTAGCTAGGATCGCAAGCCAGGACTCTCCTTTCATCCCATTTGGGGACTCGGCAGTTAGATGTATCAGTGGAAATTTGGTATTTTTGGTGACTCATAACATGAACCCTGTACGAATTAGTAAAAGTCTTTTTTTCCTGTTTTTATCTTCGTATCAGATCTTATCAGGACTAATCTATGATCTATCCATCTTAAAATATATAATTCATTAACGAAACCTTTCGTTCTACTCACATGGTTTTAAAACTAATTCAAATACAACTTTCTTCAGTCTGGGCAGCTGGTCAGTTTCACAGCCCGCATACAAACGAAGTGACTTGTATGGCGAATATGTATTCGATGCCCCTTTGTACTAATATTTATGTGTTCAAATAAATAAATAAATTCAAATACAAAGACACTATAATCAATACGCTAAGATTCTAAGCTTGAACAAAATATTTAAGGAACTAGTATATTTGATGATAATTTGCTCGAAGTTTCCAGCTTTTTATATAAGAAAGAAGATTCGTAAGTTATTTCATCGAATGTTGTATTCCATTGTCAACTATGAACTACTTCTACCACAAATTTATCCATCAATAACAAAATAAGAATTCCCCTAATCTCAATTATACACAAACAATTCATTTTTTTAATAATTGAGATCATGAGTTAATTGAAGCTAGACAACCATGGAAAACCTGGAAGCAATGGACGGCCGTTTTGTCCCACTGTGGAACTCCTCAGAAGTGCGCATCCACTATCCCGCTTCGCAAGATTCCAACCCAGGACCTATCAGTCTCACGTGCGAACGCTTAACCTCTAAACCACTGGGTCGGCCAGCATCCAACGGCGTTAATGTCTAGCTTCAACTAATCCACAAAATTGATCGACACATTCACCATTGTCTTCAGTGAGTTACTATCTCACAACAGACCCAGTTGAACTCCACTGGTCACTGTTTCTCACTAGAACTTCAGGAAATACCTTTTGAAGTCAGTCGCTAGTGAGCATATATTAATTAATATCAGCAGAGGTTTTTGTGGGTAATATAGTAGAGGTTAAGCGTTCGCGCGAGAGATCGATAGGTACTGGGTGCGAATCTCGCGAGGCGAGATCGTGGGTTCGCACTACCACTGAGAGGTCCTGCAATATAACGAAACGGCCATCCAGTACTTCTAAGTTTTCCATGGTTGTCTAGCTTCAGTTGACTCATGATCTCCATTATTAAAATTACTATAATATCCACAGAAATCTTTTCTGATATTAATTCATTTATCACTTGGTATTGTTTCCGTGAATCTTCCCATTAATATTTAGGACTGCAATTACTCAGTCTCTTATTGGTATATGTACATCCTGTGTTGGATTGCTTTGATATTGTCTTAATTCACATGCAACATAAACAGAGATAGATGGTGACTAACAATGAAATCTACTACGTCTCTTTCATCTTATTTGAGACTCGTCAGCTGAATGTACCTTTACCTCAAACTTGATATTCAGTAATTCTAGTTACTAATTATTTATTCTTTATATTATTCATAACAAAATTGATATTAACTAGTAAAAGCATTTAGAATACTTTAAAATAAATAAAAAAAGAACTTGGTACAGAGAATTTTCTCAATTTATAGACAAAAAATAAATAAACAAATGATTCATCATTATCAGTAAATAAATAAATAAGATAAAACTTTCTTGTACATGCACAGATACACACACATCTCTATTAAACTAAATTGAACATATGAAACGAATCACTATAATGTATATTGAAATTTATTGGTACCATAATAATTAAGATATTTTGTTTAAATTATATTGAATATTGAATTGAATAAAGGTTTGATAGACGATGATGATGATGATGATGATGATGATGATGATGATGATGATGATGATGATGATGATGATGATGATGATGATGATGATGATGATGATGATGATGATGATGATGATGATGATGATGATGATGATGATGATGATGATGATGATGATGATGATGATGATGATTTTATTCAATCATTTTATTTTATTTGTTATATTAATTTACAATTTTATTTAATTCATATATATATAGTAATCGCTGTGTAGTGTACAAGAACATTAGTGTGGACAGTCGAATCACTTCATAAAATCTGAGAGCCATTCAATAAATACTTCATTTCCAAAATGCCAATCCGTTGTCTCAGACTTCACTATTCCTTCGTTTCCACACCGATCATTCTTTATTCTCGTGATGTTTTATTCGATCTTCTAAACTTTTAGCTACTAGTCATTTTACTTTCGATTAATGAAACATGCTACTGATATTTGTTGACATTAGTAGCACACACCACAGCAGTAACTTGAATATTCTGAAGTGTATAAAGGTTGTGAAAACCGTCTGTATTGAGTTTGATTCATTGTAGTTAATATTAGGATGATTGAAGAGTTTCTATCATAAAGAATGTTAGGCAATAACGATTGTTAAAAATCATTTAATCAGTATAATAAATTAATGAGGAGTATATATTGAAAGTCATTTGTTGTCTCATGATCTTCACATTCAACCTACTTTGGTCATTTCCTTAGTGTAATATATAATTCAATTTTGGACAAATATTTACATTAATGTTCTTTCTGCTATTTAATATTAGTATATACTGAAAATATATAAGTAGTATTTTATGTGAATAATGTAGAAATATACTGATCAATTGTTCGTGTGTGTGTGCGTGTGTGTGTATGTGTGTGTGTGATAATTAATTGATGATCTTGAAAACAGATTTTACACTTATTGATACTAATTAGAAATAGGAATATATCAAACTTTCCAAAAAATGAAATGATCCTTTTCAACAACTCAAACCTATATCACTTAACACTGTTTGTTTTGCAGACAATAACCATTATGTGATTGATTTTACAAGTTTCATTTTGGAAAGGATAGGAGGCTTGATAGCTTGTGTTAGTCCTGGCAATGATGGTTCCTCAATTGATCCAACTTTTTTTGAAAGAGTCGACGGGTGGAGCCTCAACCACGTACTGAGGTAATCAATTCCACTCGTTGATGACTCGATGGGAAAGTTGGTAGTCAGCTGACAAGTAATTTGTTCTGGGCTTGTGAACATTTTTTGTAGTGTTCTCGTAAATCCTGTTTTAGAAGACAAGAAAAACGAGAGTATATCAGGTGCAAATTTATCACTAAGCAATTTGAGAACAGTAATCAAGTCACTTCTAGTTTAAATATCGTTAAAATATGGTAAAATCTTATGTTGATCATATAGCTTGAAATAATAGAAACAAGTCACTTACTCACACAAGGAACTAATATGTAGTTTGATCTGAACACAAAGTTTTGTGCTTTAAACATTAGAATTGTATTCATACAATTACCAGAGACGCAACAATCAGCTGTTATTAAACTACTATCAGTTTTTAATAGGCTTTGTAACTTTAAACTGGTGATTAATTTGAAGAAATAAATTGACCAAATACTACATATATTTATTTTGATCACTCTAATATTCCCATACCAACAATACTGATTATAATCAATAGGTGTTGACAAGCATAATTACAACATCTGTATAGTATTTTCCAATCACAGTACAGACAATTTATGACAATTCATTGAATGAAAAACTAAAGATTACATAATAATGTAAATGTGGTATACGTAAATATACGTGACTAAATCCTACATTATACCGATCAGTCTATTTTTAACATTTATTTTCAATACTTAGTTCTTTGATTTTGTTTCACTTAGCGACAAGTGAAACAAAGAAACATTTTCAAAGGTCAAACAATATGACAGAAATCCTTTCAGGTACCGTTTCAGTTTTGAACTGAAATACATCAGATAACAGGAATAGTTAGAGACAAAGCTTGAAACGAATCTTACTCATTCACTTTTTATTTAAACTTTGTGTTCAACAAGACTTGTCATTTGCGTAGAAAATTATGATGGTGAGAAGAAGATTTCTGGAGTCATTTAATAATGAAATAGGACTATACATTTTATTGATGGATTTTGATAAGACCTTTGATAAAGTGCCGCATAACAGACCTCTATTGAAACTGAAAAATCGAGAAACATGTGCACTTCCGCTAAGGTAGTTCAAGAACTTACTTGCTTGCTTTTAGTAGAAAGAAACTTTTTGTTCAAAATTCCTCTTAAAAGATCAGCACTTAGCGGAATACCACAAGGCTCCGCTATGAATCCCATACTGTTTTTATTTTTTATTTTATTTTAACACATAGATAGTGGTACAAGGAGGCACCAAATACATATGCTCCACACAGATCTCATTTGAAATGTGTGAGGGTTGTGATATTCCTCAGGTGCCCAAACCGAAGCAGGTGGTTTTATTAGAAAGCCACACCAGGAGCCTTTGACCTAAAGGTCTCATCCACAAGGCAGTGGAGCATCGTAAGGAGATGCATTCCTATGGTAGCCGGTGACCAACGGTTGGTTCATACCCCATTTGTTCCTTCAGGATACTCCAGCCAATATGCACCATTGGTTAGGAGTCAGGGTTTTCCAACTCCCCTAGGTGGACTCACCGTGTCCACCAACCCGGTTAAATCGCCGGACATTTGATTTTCTTCCTGTTAATTTTCTAAACAACATCCCCGCCACGAGAAGACAATGGGTAAAACCTCGTTGGCAGAGGCTACATACGCGTGGCCATGTGAAAGCATTTGGAGAGGAATAGCGGACTCTCCCCACTCTTGGCCACACCGGGGCGTTTGGGGGCACTTTACATGAATGAACTTCCGTGTATCCCCAACTTTCCGACAATATTTTTGGTTGAAAACATCAAAAGATAACAAAAGATAACATAGGATCTCAACAGACGTACACTACTGACTAATCTGAACGTTCTCATAAGCTACTGTGGTTAATCTCTATCAACGTAACCATGTGTGCCTATATCCACACTGGACACACATGTATCAACAACCACAACACAGATAAAGGGTTAGCGACCTTATTACTGTCCCATAACGTCCAACGTATAACAGTAATTCATGATCTTAAAACTGATGCACACCGCTGTTAAGTAGCACCTAAAGGATCCAATAATTTGTGTGCGCCAAAGAGCGGTTTTACCCAGTTTAATACAAATAATGTTTACAGCTTTCTACCGGCGTATTTTTTTTACTCCAAGCTTACAGGGAATAAATTTGTGCAGGTGTTTTCTAGCTTGTAGCACAGTGTTTTCAAAAACCGATCTGTATTTAGTTAACATCTAATGGTTAGGAACGTACATTCTCGTGAAAAATTGAATCTGAAGGATTTTGGTTGCTACCTGGATTAGTTAAGCCGAAATACCTGTCAATATTGAAGATAAATATGGAACAAAACTATTGAAATAAAACTCACGTTATGTGATAGTATCAGGATTTGACGAACAAGCATTTTTAAACGTACAGAAGTTGTTCTGAAGTAGATAAATAATGGTCTCTAAAAGTACTCAGTAACGCATAACGTGTGAGTGAAAGCACTAACTCATATATAACTCGTATTGCCACTCAAAATAGTACCCTAGACAATTTACTAAAACAAAAAGTATCAAGAAGTATACAGTCAGATATCTATCTCTGAAAGACTTAAGTATGACATCGATTCTCTTGTGAAGGAAAGGGGTTACCTTCAGTTCCTGCTTTGCCTATACTTGCTTGATAATCAAAGAATTCTGGTTGCACGGGTTACGTTACAGTGATTCAGTATCAATATACCGGTTCTAGATCTAGTTTTACAATGACTTTAGAAATGAAAAAAATTTATTTGTGTTGTAGCAACATTTCAACTATTATCTAGTCTCTAAGGTCTAGTGTATTTTAAGTTATCAAATTATATAGTCGACTTACCAAAAATCGGCTTTAATATATATAATGATGATTGTTGAACTTCTCGTTTTTATAAACTTGACAAGGATAGAGCAAACACCAAACTAAAGCTTAGCAATGAAACTCATCTTTATGCTTATATACTAAGTATTTCTTTTATGCTTCATGGATTTTATGTAGTGTTCTTTAATCAACCGAATTTCATGTACAGTTGTGTTATAACATTTACTAAAACCTGTATTTCGACATGTTTGAAGTCCTCCATTGCATCACAATATGGCGTCTTCTTTGTGTGCATATGTTTGAGTGAGAATCCATGTATACAATTTACGTGGCAACAGTTCTTTGCGCCTTATTTTGTGCAAAATTACTTGATATTATTGACATTTTGTTCCAACTGAGGTTATTGCTATCGTTTTCCTCGCCATTTCGGTCCCTAATCAGTCAATTGTTGTATGTCGTTATGTTGACGATGCTAATTTGGTTTGAGTTGACCATATTTTCTGACAGCTGTCATACTGAGTAACCATACTCTTAATTGTTCTATTCAATCGATCGCTCAACAGTCTCACGGTTTTATCCATAAACGCCGGACGTTTACGAACTCGTGTCTAATGATCTCGAAGTTGGGCATCCAGTGAATTTCTCATCCGGTTCAACATCACTCTGTTGAGAACACCGATAATAGTGTGGAGTCTATGTAGTCCCCACACTTGCTGATATCGTCTCTCTTTGGTATCTTGATGCAGTGTCCTTCTTTACAGTCTGTCAATACGTGTTCCTTTACTCAAGTCTTCCTGAATCGAAGATAGCGAATGTGTATAGTTACTTCTATTTCTGACTTCAGCACTTCGGCTTGTATATTGTCATGTCCTGATGATTTCCCACTCTGCATTTGTCTGATGGCCATCTTGACTTATTCAATCGTTGGTGGAGTGACATGTATAGGAGGGTCTGAAAGTGCTGTTTCGGTACCGGTGGTCTCAGTAGAGCTGGTCTATTCAAGAGTTGTTGAAAGTGTTCTGCCATTCTGTCTCTCTGTTCTTGAATCTCGGCGATCATCTTGCCTTCACTGTCCTTGATCAGTCTCTCTGGTTCTTCCTTTCTTGAGTCTTGACTAGGATTTTGATGGGGATCCATCACATGTGATGATGCCTCTTGCAGCTCACCACCTGCTGACACGTTGAAGTTAATGCTACTTTGATCCCTTTCCAATTGTCCTAC